ATTCTGAAATTTGTTTTCTTCATAATATAAAATTTTTACAAAATAATACTTAAAAAATACATCCATGTCAATACCTGAATGTTATAAAAATGCAATTATCAAAAATTTTGTAATTTTCACAATTTGTATTGTCATAATTTATTTTTGTTTTTTTCTGTCGCGCGTTGCGTATTGCGCGACAACAAAGTCGTAACGCGATTAAACGCAGCGATTTCATTTATAATTACTTAAAATGTAGTTTACGTTCTTGTTTTAGTTTTGTTTTGTTGTTTAGCGATGGAAAATAAATAGATAATAATTGCAGATAACAATTTAAAGTATTTTTATCAGATTAATTTAGATTATTTGATTTTACAATAATGATAGCTATGCGATATGATTGTCGCATAGTTGTAATTTTTTACTTTATATCTAATTAGCTCTCATAATGTTTAGGGCCTAATTAGCTAACATGTAGTTTTTTTATTTCGTTTGATCGAGTAAGCATCTTCTCATAATTGTCTGGTGTGAAATTGACTGCGATAAGAATTAGCCCTGCATTTAAATCAATGTCAGAATGTAAATAAACGTTAGTTAATCGCCATTTTCATCGTTTTCAGCTCTAATTTCGCTAATTTTCATTTTTATTGACGCTATTTAAACAAATGTTTGTTTTGTCAGAAACATTCAGGAGTAAAATTACCAGAATTACGGCTCTAAAATGAAGATAGCTATTTGTAAGGTTTGCTTACATTCTGACTTTAATCACGTGGATTGGTTCTTCGCGGGAAAATCCAGACAAGATGGTTCTGAAAAAACCTCTCATTCGTTGAACTTAAATCAGTCATAATATAAATTACCAATTAGAGCGTAATAGGCGTAGAAACAAAGATTTTAAAGCCAATTAACAGCAATAACATCTTCCATAGACTTACTATAGAGAGTTGGAGTTTCCCGAGAATATTTGTTGCTAGATAGTTTTAAAAACATATTTAATCGCCTAAGTATTGTTAAATTAGTTAACTTAATGTTTAAGCACATTAAATTAGTTATATAGAATTAAAAATCGATTTATAAAGCGAATTTATTGTAATTGTTTACATTTCACTTTGAAGGTTGGAGGCAGGACTTTTCGCGGCAATTTTTTCCTTTCACTAGTCTGTGATTAGTTAAAGTAATGTCAACAAAAACAGAAGTTACTCAATGAAACCTTAGAAAAAGTTTTCTTTTGATTGTTTTTAGCCATCTCAGATGATTTACTGTAGAATGGTAGGAGGATGTATTTACCGAAATATTTATGGCCCAGGGGTGGTAAAAAACACGTATTGGCTTAAACAAAGCCAATTGACCTAGAGAAAAGCGAATTAAAGCTAAGATTGCTGGAAAACTTCAATATAACCAAATTAATCAAATTTTTAAGCAATTTACACCTAAAGGTGTACTTCGCATCATCTTTCCGTCATGGATAAGTTTTAATATTTGATATCTTTATATTACGCTATGCTCTGATTGTAAGGTCGAGCGCAGCGGGCCTTGTGATAGACTAGACTTTATATACAACAATATTAATAATTATATGTTGATATCTTCCAATTGTTTCTGAATTAGTATTGCTGTAATAACATATGAAAAGAATGATTCAAAAATTGTTCATTACCTGTATTCTTTTTAACGAAACCAAAATTTCTGCAACAAATCCTACTGCTTGAGAAAACAGAGCAACAATGTCGTTGTAGATATACATTGAAACTGTCATTGTGACGAATATAATTTCGGCATTTAATTGTCCTCCATTTAAAAAGAATGCCAGATATGCGAGGAGAATGAATAATTTCGATATAGGATACGCCAATATATACGATATTCCACTTGCGTATAAAAACTTTCGAATTTTTTTCATTTCTTTCCTGCAAATAGAAACAATTAAATAATACTAATTGCGGAGCTCCGAAATAATTATCTAAAACACATCAGCGTATCGAAATTACAATAAAACCAGTGTAAACAGGCATCCTATGGTGTCAAATATTTTATAAAGTATGTGATGTTTATGCTCTGAACATGGTTTACTTTTTAAAACAAAAATACGTTTTTGAGAAGATTTTATTATTTTCTGTTTAAGCAGTTACTCGTTTTATTTTGGTTCCATTTTAAACAGGTTTTACTGTATTTCAGTGCACTTACACTCTGATTTTTTCTATTAATGCGGCATATGGCAATTCCCAGGTGTACATCTTTATTAACCTCATATCAGCAATCATCTCGTTCAACAGATTCAATCTTTCGTCTCCCAATANAAGACGAGACAGCGTCTAAACCTATAATAGAATTTTGTTCATTAAAACCGAAAATGTATTCGTATATTTTCGATAATCAAAATAAAAAAACAGCTAAAGGAATTAAAAAATCTGTTGTTAAAACCTTTAACCACGAAAAATATAAAGAAGTTTTATTTAATACTGAGCTATTAAGACATCAGCAGTATGGTATTAAAAGTAAAAACCATCTTGTAGCAACATATCTTCAGAATAAAATATCACTCTCACCGTTTTATGACAAAAAATTTATTTCTGATAATGGTATAGATGTGATATCGTTTGGACATTATACTTTTTATATTTAAACTCTTTCAGATTTTCTGATATCATCTTCCCCCCAATACTGTTACTTATTATTGTACAAGAGGAAACGAAATTCAAAAACTTGTTTAATACATGATGTTTCGAGTAAAACATATCGTTGCTTAAAACAAGCTGTAAATAAAGCTGGATTATTTAAATTACCAAATAATAAGAAATACTTTTGTAAATTTTTTGTATTGACTAACCAGATAACGATGATGTTATGTAATAATAATTTTATAAAATGTAGTTGTTCTAACTGTAATCGTACTTTTTAAAAATGTTGTAACCATGTTTATATATAATAAAACTATATCCTAATACAGAGTTTTTTTTATAGAATTCAAACACATTACACCACTCGAATGGGAAAAGTTTTCGAGTTTACCGATGGACGAAAATAATATCAAACGTTTTAAAAACTATATTAAATGGGGAATTATAAGCCAAAAAACTGATTTAAGCAGAGACTTCATTTCTGAATTTGCTGATAATTTAAACTGGGAGCTAATATGGAAAAATTATATATTCACCACTACGTTTATCGAAAAACATATTAAATACGCTAAATGGAATATAATTTC